TCACACACACAACCTCAGGAACGTGCACGTCACACACACAACCTCAGGAACGTGCACGTCTCACACACTCTCAGGATCGTGCACATCACACACACAACCTCAGGAACGTGCACGTCACACACACACTCTCAGGAACGTGCACGTCACACACACAACCTCAGGAAGATGATATATATATATTTTTTTTCATTCAACCTTTATTTAGATGGTAAATCCCATTGAGCCTCGAGGACTCATTTACAAGAGAGACCTGGTTTAACAAAGAATGATGACAACAATGGACAACAGCAACAACAATAAACAGTTATAAAAAGTCATAATACAGTTTTTTTTTTTTGTTTTTTTTTTTACAATTAGGATGGCTAAAAGAATAAAAGGTAACAACAAAAAACCAGCTAGATTCTAAGGTGAATGTAGAAAACTAAAAACAGGAACATGTCTGCATTGGTCCCTGCCAGGAGTCCAACAGATTCTTAAAGCCACTTAGAGAGGTCAAAGGTCGAGAGCTTCAGGTCTTTTTACAAGATATTCCAGGAAACAGGAGCGGAGTAGGAGAAGGTCCTTTTGTCTAGTTCAGTCCTCACTGAGGGAACACTGCAGGTAATGATGTCCTGAGAGCGCACGCTGTAGCTGCACTCACACAGAGACATGTAGGAGGAGATGTATGAAGGCAGCAGACCAGGAAGTGATTTAAAGATGAAGATGTACCAGTGGGAGAGTCTGTGTGAAGTTAATGGTGACCAGTTAACCAGTGAATACTGGGTGCAATGGTGGGTACGGTAGTTACAGCCAGTTATGAATCTTAGTGCACCATGATAGACAGCATCCAACATCTGCAGCATCCAACATCTGCAGCATCCAACATCTGCAGGGTTCTTGTAGGAGCGTTCATGTAAATAATGTCACCGTGATCAATGGAGGGAAGGAAAGTCACAGATACAAGGTGTTTCCTAACATTCAGAGTTAGACAGGATCTGTTTCTGAAAAAGAAACCCAGTTTAACTTTCAGTTTCTTTACCAAGTTTTCCACATGGAGCTTAAAAGAAAGATGTGAGTCGACCAAGATACCCAAATATTTATAGGAATCAACAAACTCAATGGGGACACCATTTGAGGATAAAATCGGAGAAAGAACTGCTGGGACCAACTTCCTGTTTGAAAACAGCATCCCTTTGGTTTTGTTGGCATTTAGGACAAGTTTGAGGTGAAACAAATCTGTCTGGATGATGTTGAATGCAGATTTCAAAAGCTGGAAAGCCTTAGCAACTGTTTTAGCTCGACAATAAACAACTGTGTCGTCAGCATAGAAATGTATGGATGCATTAGGGATGTTTTGACCTACATTATGTATGTAGATTGTAAAGAGGGTGGGTCCTAAGACTGAGCCTTGTGGTACACCATTGTTGACTGTTAAATAACTGGAGGAAGTACCATTATGTTGAACACATTGCCTCCGGTCTGAGAGATAGTTAGAGAACCAACCAATGGTGTGTTCTGAGAAACCAGTTTCTGAGAGTTTATGACACAAGATGTTCTGATCCACAGTGTCAGAATCTTTAGACAGGTCTAAGAAAAGTGCAGCACAATAATCCTTAGCATCCAGTGCTTCAACAACATCATTAAGAACCTTCAGTGAAGCAGTGGTTGTGCTGTGTTGTTTCCTGAAACCAGATTGATGTGGAGGTAAGATGTTAAATGAGTCCAGGTCATTTTTGATTTGAGAGTTTATCAGTTTTTCTAGAACCTTGGCTAAAATGCAGAGTTTAGAGATTGGTCCATAGTTGTTCAGTGAGGTGGGGTCACCTCCCTTCAGCAAAGGAAGAACAAAGGCTGTTTTCCAAGTATCTGGGATGGAGTTTTGTCTTATGGAGAGATTGAAGATGTGGGTCACAGGGACTGTGATGATATGAGCAGCCAGCCTTAAGAAATAAGGTGGAAGTTCATCTGGACCTGCAGATTTTTTAGGGTCAAGATCTTTTAACAGTTTATTGACCTCACTGACTGAGAATGGAGAAAAAGAGAAGCTGTGATTAACTGAGGATTGACTTGTAAGAGGGATTTGATTTGTAGAAGTTTGATTATTAAGTGAAGTGGCTGATCTTCCATTAGTAACTGTGTCAAATAAAGAACTAGAAGCAACAAAATGTTTGTTGAAACAGTTCAGGATCTCGTGCTGATTTGACACAGGAACAGAGTTAATGAGAAGTTGTGATGGGAGGTCAGATGATTGGGGGGTGCCTGAGAGAGATTTGATGGTTTTCCAGAATCTGTTAGGGTCATTTAGATTTTTGGAGGTCTGAGATAAGAAATAGTTGTGTTTTGCTGCTTTGACAGCAGTTGTGCATTTATTCCTCATCTGTCGAAAACTCAACCAATCAGTGTCTGAGTCTGATTTTCTCGCTGTGGCCCAAAGATGATCTCTCCTGTGCAGGAGGTCAGCTAGCTCTGGAGTAAACCAGGGACTGTCTCGTCCCTTTATTCTGAACTGACGTAAAGGAGCATGTATGTTCACAAAATAGATGAAACTATTATGAAAATAGTTCCAAGCAGAGTTCACGTCATCAGTTAACAGAATACGATGTCAGTCAAAGTGAGACAGATCCCAGAGGAATGACTGTTCACAGAAATGTTTCAGATCCCTTCTTTGAATTAATCTGGGCTTAGAAGGTGGAAGTTTAATATCTCTGAGAGTCGCTGTCACACAGTGATCACTCAAAATGTCAGCGAATACACCTGTACCAGGGAATTTGTGAGGCATATTAGTTAGAAACAGGTCTAAGATGGAGGAATTGTCAGGGTGGCTTTTATTTAATCTGGTGGGAGAGTCGATCAGTTGGGTTAAATTAAAAGACAAGCAACATTC